TCTTCCTTGGGTGGTGATATTCTGAGGCACTTCTTGGCTAGAGCTATTGTTAAGCTTGGCAAATGGTAGGGTCAGGGATAAGCAAGGGTAACAATCTACTAACTCTCTAAGCAAGTATCTCACTTAATGAAAAAAATAGTAGCCAAGTCAAGGAGAATCTCTAAAGACTGAAACTAGACTTTAATTAATTTTGAATGTCCTTCTATAAACAAGCAGCCATATAAATAAGCTGAAAAAATAACTAAAGGCTCTATAAAATTACCCACTTCCTTGAATTTCAGACCGACTCAAATAGACTCACAACAGACTTGATAATGTTTATTGGAAACAATAACTACCTCCTAAAAGCTAGGACACATTCAACAGGTTCAAGAACTTAAAAATAAACAACTGAAGTAATAAATAAAAATATAACAAAAATATTTGAACTAAGTCAAACACGTTTCCTCTTCTTTCTACTAGACGTAAGTAATGGTGGCCTATCACGTCTCCCCCCTCAAATGTCACCTTGTCCTTAAGGTGAAATTTTGAAACTGACCAGCATACAAGTCATAATCCTCCCAAGTAGCATCTTCAAGTGGGCGATTTTTCCAAGCTACCAATAATTCCAACATGTGCCCAAAATGCCAGCGACGATCTAGTATATGATCAGCTTGCAGCAAGAGTTCCCAATCATCAGAAATTGGAAGAGGAGCTGGAGAAGATGGTGGCAAAACACCATGTGCAAGGCGCAACAAGGAAACATGAAAGGGGGGATGGATTTTTGCATAAGATGGAAGTTCCAGCTCATAAGATACAACTACTATTTTTCATAGAACTTTGTAGGGTCTAAAGAATCTAGGAGATAGCTTCTCATACCTCTGCTTTCAGAGAGATTTTTGTCTGAAGGAATGAATGCACAGCAGCACATGGTCACCTTCTTGAAAACAAGCTCTCTGTTTTTCTTATCTTGCTGATTTCTCATTCTACCTTGGGCCTTTAAGAGTTTATCTCTTAATAGCTTTAGCATAGAATCTCTAGTTAACATTTGCTCTTCTAACTCAGCATTAGTAGTTTCACCCTTCACAAATGGGTGCAAAGAGGGAGGGTCTCTACCATAGATTACCTTGAAGGGTGTAGCACCTGAGGATACATGGAATCCAGTGTTGTACGAGTATTCTGCCCAACATAAATAAGCACTCCACTTCTTGTTCATGAGCAAAACATCGAAGGTAAGCTTCCAAGCACCTATTAACCACTTCTGTTTGGCCATCTGGCTGCGGGTAATAGGATGTTCTCATCTTCAACTTAGTTTGGCTAAGACGAAACAATTCTTGCCATAAACAGCTAAGGAAAATGGAATCCCTGTCTAAAATAATTGAGCAGGGCATGCCATGAAGATGAACAACCTCTTTGCAAAAAATTCCAGCCACAATTTTTGCAGAATAAGGATGAGAAAGTGGCAAGAAGTGGCTATATTTGCTTAAACGATCAACTACAACAAGTATGGTATTGACTCCTTATGATTTTGGAAGACCAACAATAAAGTCAATAGAGATATCTTCCCAAATTTGTTTTGGAATTGGTAGGGCCTGTAGCACGTTTGCAGGAGCAAGAGTTTCATACTTGTTTTGTTGGCAAGTCAAGCATTATTGAACATGCAACTTCACATCCCTCTTCATTTGAGGCCAATAAAATTGATCAGTAAGTCGCTTAAGTGCCTTCAAATAACCACTATGGCCTCCTATAGGGTTTCATGTGCTTCTTGTAGAAGAGTGGCATGCAGATTACTTACAGAAAGGATCACCAATTTGCATTTGTGAAAAAACTTGTTGGCTATCCATTGAAAATTTGGCCTTGAATTAACATCTTATTGTAAATCAGAAATGATTGCCTAAGTATAGGGGTCTTGTAACAATGCTTACTACAACTCAAAAAAATCTAGGGGCACAGCTATAGATAAATTGAGCAATTCAGTTTGCTGTGGTTTTCAAGAAAGGGCATTTGCAGCCATATTTTCCTTTCCTGCCTTATACAAAATGGTGAAGTCAAAAGGCATTAGCTTTAAGATAAGCCTTTGCTGTGAATTAGTGATAATATGCTACTCCAAAAGGTGCCTTAAACTGCTATAGTCAGTCTTAACATAAAAATGACGCCTAATTAAATAATGTTTCCATTTCTGAACAGCAAGAACAAGAGCCAATAATTCTCTATTATAGGCAGATTTGTATCAATTAGAAAGAGAAAAACCCTTACTAAAGTATGCCACAAGATGATTTTGTTGCATGAGGACCCCTCCAACACCCTCCATAAAGGCATCACATTCAACAGTAAATGGTTGAGAAAAATTGGGCAGCTGGAGAACTGGATCAGTGGTTAATGCCCCCTTGAGCTTTTGGAAAGCCCCCTCAGCTTGTTTATTCCAGCAGAAAGCATCCTTCTTTGTGAGATCCATGAGTGGCTTGGCAATGACTCCATAATTCTTCACAAACCTCCTATAGTGGCCAGTGAGTTCTAGAAATCCTCAAAGCTCCTTAATCATTATAAGAGAAGGCCATTGTTTAATAGAGTCAATTTTCTCAAGATCAACCCTAACACCTGCTTGTGATACAATATGGCCAAGAAAATTGACTTGGTGATGGCTGAAGGAGCACTTCTTAGCATGAGCAAAGAAGGCATTAGTACGTAACAAATTCAGAACAATCTCCAAATGAAGCTTATGCAAATGTAAAGAGGGGCTATAAACCAGTATATCATCAAGGAAAACCAGCACAAAATGTCTTAAATGTGGACGAAAGAGGTCATTCATTATTGGCTAAAAAGTTGATAAAGCATTAGTGAGTTCAAAGGGCATAACAGTAAATTCATAATGACCTAAATGTGTCCGAAAAGCTGTCTTGTAAATGTTTGGAGGGTTGACGCGAATTTGATGATACCCCAAGTGAAAATCAATTTTTGAAAATTAGGCAGCATGTAATTCATCAAGCAACTCATCCACATTAGGAATAGGATACTTATTTGGAACCATAACGCAGTTGAGTTCCTGATAGTCAATGCACATCCTCCATGAGCCGTCCTTCTTTTTCACTAGTAGAACAGGGCTTGAAAAGGGCTAAAGCTAGGTTGGATAAACCCTTTTGCTAAAAATCAACAACTTGCCCCTCAATCTCATCCTTCTAAGAGTAAGGCTACCTATACGGCCTGATGTTGGGAGGTTGAGCGTTTGAATGCAAAACAATGGCGTGCAAGTACGTTCAAAGAAGAGGCAGCATCGTAGGTTCTGCAAATACATCCCTATAGTCCCGAATTAGCCCTTCAATATCTGTGAATTTATATTAGAGACTCCCTTTAGGACCTTCTTGCTTAGCTAACACATTAAACACATTGAACTCTACCTTAGAAGTAGTCTCCCGAGGCATTCCTTGCAGTTTATACCTTTTTCCATTAACCCAAAAAATCATAAACATTTGCTGCCAATTTGCTTGTACTGTGTTTAATGATGCTAGCCACTAAATACCAAAAACCATATCTATACCAGCAAGAGAAAAAGGAAAAAAATACTCACAACCTCCACATCTTGAATATGTACCTAGAGTTACTTACATGCCTTGTTGCAGCGAATTAAAGATCCATCCCCAATCTAGACTCCAAAAGAGGAAATGTTCTAAGTCGGTAAATTGAGTTCAGTGACCAACAAATTTGCCACAAAGTTGTGAGTTGGACTGCTGTCCACCAAAATTATGACTTCTCGCTTTCTCAATGTGCCTCCGAGCTTCATAGTAATTGATGAATTTTTACCCAAAAGGGCATGTAAAGAGATTTCCGCATGCCACTCAACTTTTTCAGCCTCCCCTTCTTCTCCAGAATCAATTTCGCACAGTAGGCCTCCTTCTTTAGTGACTTCCATAATCTTCAGCATTCCAAGTTTGCAACGATGACTTGCCATAAATTGTTCTCCACACTTAAAACACAATACTTTGTCACATAGCTTTTGTTTCTCAGGATCCCATGAGCTAGATGGCACGACTGAAGAGGACAATGCTGTAAGTGGAGTCACGTGCAATGGACATTCGCTGGAGGAAGAAATCGCAACCCTAAATAGGACCTAGAATAACATGTTTCACGTGCTGGGTTATTGAATATGGACTGGGTACGAATCAGGTTGGTTAGCCCACGTGCACTTAGGTTTTTAACCTCAAATTCAATTGCAAGGCTCACAACCTTGTATATGGTTCATGGCTTATGAATCTGGACTCCACCTTCAATTCCTCTTTTAGTCCATTCAAGAACACACCTAAGAGACAGTGTTCAAGCCAGTTTTTTACTCGCACAGACCTCTTAGCAAACTCTCTTGTCTGTATTCTTGCATGGTTCCCATCTGCCTGATGCCATAAAGATGCTCATCTGGGTTCTGAAATTCAGTAGGATCATAGTGCTCTTGAAGTACCTTTGTGAGTTCTTCCCAATAAAGCAAGGTTCATGTAGTGTTTGATCCAAGCAAAGAGATCTAGTACGTCTCTTTCAAGGTACATAGCTACAATATCTACTTTCAATTCATCTAGTGTTTGATAATACCAAAAATATTTTTCGGCCTTCAAAATCCATCCTCTCAGGTCACCCACTTTGAATTTGGGAAATTTAATTTTTGTAGATGGTCACTTTGAGGGATTTCACCAGGGTATGTCATAATCATCTTCTTCATCAGAGGCATGGACATGTGTCTTGCCTTTGTCTTTGTTGCTTCCTTCAGCATGAGATTCACTATAAGAGGCCTTAAGAGCAGGTATCTCAATGTTAAGTTGGCCTGACTGGGCTGCCATCTCAAATAGTTGGTGGGCAAGGGCATCAGGAAGGCTAGTTTGTTGTTAGTTGGAGGAGCGTGTAGAAACCATCTCATAACCAGGCTCGGATACCAAATGGTAGGGTCAGAGGTAAGCAAGGGTAACAATCTACTAACCCTCTCTAAGCAAGTATCTTACTTAAAGAAAAAAATAGTAGCCAAGTCAAGGAGAATCTCCAAAGATTGAAAATGGACTTTAATTAATTCTGAATGTCCTTCTACAAATGAGCAGCCATATAAAGAAGCTGAAAAAATAACTGAAGACTCTATAAAACAACCCACTTCCCTGAATTTCAGACTGACTCAAACAGACACACAACAAACTTGATAATGTTTATTGGAAATAATAACTACCTCCTAAAAGCTAGGACACATTAAACAGGTTCAGGAACGTAGAAATAAACAACTGAAATAATAAAAATCAAAATATAACAGAAATATTTGAACTAAGTCAGTCACATTTCCTCTTCTTTCTACTGTACGTGAGTAGTGGTGGCCTACCAGCAAAGGATATTAGAAAGTCACTATCTTCTCTGCAAGATATTTTGGCAAAAGCTTAACCCAGTTTGATGATAAAGAACACTAGGACTTAGATTTCAAGATTTTCCCATAGAACCAAACAGAAAACGGAACATCAAACTCACTGTTAGTCCGATGCTCACTCTACGATTCTGAGTTCCAATCTCTTTTTTCTTCTTCTTTCCATCGATTTACCACTCATTCTCTCAGTATTGAACATTGATCAAGACATCACCTGCTAAAATCATTGGACAAAATCCACAATCAACAACACAATAACTTGATTAAATCAACTTAGAAATCATTAAGGGCATCCCAATCAATAAAATTGAAACGCCAAGTAGCTAAAATCAGGAGCCAAATGAGAGACGCTAGAGTTTGCCGTGGACCCCCGAAAACCCCACCATCGAATCGTATCGGAAGAGACCCTCATCAAGTTGTTGTTGTATTGTATTTGCATCTTAAAAAAAAAAATATAGACTAGTACAGAAGAAGCAAAGAACCAGAACGGAGAAGCCTTTCTCGATCTCTCATCTCGGACCCAACACAAGACCCACAATGACCCACGAAGCCTTTCTCTATCTCCAGCACAAATTACCGGAGTAAAGATCTCCAGCGCTGCAAGTGAAGATCCCGAAAGTGGACACAAGAAGTGAGATATGAATGGAGACTGCCACCTATTGGCAAATACAGAAGGAGAAGGCAGAAGATGCAGAACGATTCAGTGCCCTAGTTTAGAGTCCACATGGCAGTTCACGGATCACAAACAAAACAAAAATGCCAAGTGAAAATATGATTGGTCAAACCTTATTAATTTTAACTGTCATCATTCGCCAAATTTAAGGATAAGGTAAAATTATTTTTTTTAAAAGTTTTATGGCAAAATCATTTTTAAAAAAATTAAAAAAAAATTCAAGATATTTTTACTCTTTCACTCCAATTATAATTACTGTTAACAAGGTTAACCATTTTAAAAGAAAAAAATCTCTAATAAATTTAGATATTTAATGTATGTTTGATTTTTAATTTGTTAAAAATTTATTTATCAAAAGTCAGTTTAATGAAAGTCAGTTATTATAATGAATATATTTGAATATATTTTTTCAAAAGTTAACTTAATAAATTAAAAATTATTTAAATTATGATAGTAAAGTGTGCTTTTGAATATATAATTATTAGAAAAAACATTGATTTATAATGATTTATAATTTTTTATACAAATATAAAATATTAAAATGATTAAAAATGTGAAAAAAATTTAAATAATATCAAATTTGATGTGTTAAATACTAAAAATAAAAAATAAAAACTTTGATATAATGAAAAAATTATATAATAAATAGTTCAACATATATAAATTTTGAAAATTAACATAATTCAAATGAGATATATATGATAATTCAACATAGATTAATACTAAATATTAATATGATTAATTATTGAACTTCTAATGCTTATTATAAATGTAAATAATGCAACCATGTATATCAAGGGATTATGAAAAAAATGAATAGTTAAAAAATGCACCCACTTCCAAAACATTAAAAAGCAAAAGCAACCATAGTTATATTTAGAAAAAGTACTTTTGAGACTATTGTTCACATTTGTCAAAATCACTTTCAAAGTTCTTGAAAATAAAACTAAATAATATTTACTTCCAAATCATATTTTGAAATGACTTTTTCAAATGACAAATGTAAAAACTAAACTGGGCCCTTGGTGTCTCAACCTCTTCATTCCAACATTATCCCAAGGCTTCAATAAAGTGACAATTCCTTAAAAATCATTGCTCTTTGAGGAGTGAATTAAATTCTTGGTCAAATTCATATGCTTTTTGATGAACCGTGACTCAAGACTTTCATTAATAATATGAACTCACCAAAACGACCACAAAATCAATAAGAGCATCAAAAAAAGTAAATGGTTTAGTTGTATAGAGAGCTTGATTGGAATTGAATGATTTTAACTAGACCCAGAGAATCAAACTTCATAACAACTCCTGATTTCTTAACCTAGTCTTTCTGCACGAAGAATGATTAGGAAGCCACATGTAAGACCCTTGATATGCCATGCACATCTTTCATAGGCAAATTGTAGAAGTTTGAATACTTGCTTATCAAGTCCAATCTTACAATCCAGAATCGATTATGGTTCCCGCTGTGTCTAGCCACCAGAAAACAATACCTAGTGAAATATACAAACACAAATACTATGATATAAAATTTGCTTTTCATGAACAAGTTCATAATTTTGTGCCACGTTCTTCTTTAATTCGAGCTTTCGTCATACAAGAGGTTCTTATCGCTGCTCTGAATTTTTTCTCCAATCAAAACATGTGAATGGAAATGTGAAGGAAAAATTCAAAGATGAATCAATGAAAGGTAAAGTTGTGTTACTAAAGAATAGGATTGCACAAAAGACTGACCCGACAGAACTTCAACTTAACCCAAAGTCTGATCCTTTTCATGAATGAGACTAGGTTAAGCAACCAATGATCTAGTTTGATCTTAATATAATCCAAATTTAAATAGGACTGAACTCATTTAGTAGGATTAAAAGACTAATCCCAATCTTATCTAATATCTCACTTTGTTTTTTTTTTTTCCATCTATGAGATAGTAATTTATTTTAACATAATAAACTTAATTAACAAAATAAAATTTCTTATAGTTATATAAATTTTATTACAACAACAATTATAAATTCATAACAATCTCCAACAATTAAAAAATATTTTAATTACAATACAAATGATTCAAATTAAACAACCTTTATTAACATTAAACAACTTTCAACAAGTCTAAAATCCATTACATTAAGTTAACAACAAATTGCACCAATAAAAAGGGAAGACTAAGGTTGATCAATTTTAAAATTTTGCTTACTATTCATGACTTCACAAACATAAAACACAAAAAGTTACTAATTATTATTATAAATTAACTCATTATAATAATAATTAATAAATTAATTATAATTATATTAAATAAATTTATAAAATCAGACCAGACCAAGTGGTCCCCATACTCAATTTTTTATCTAATTCAACCCAAAAAAAGAGTTTGATCATTTTAATCCTTAAAGACTGATTTTTATCCAAACTGGACATGATGAAATTTGTCGCTGGTTAGACAGAATTGGAGTGAACAGAGGGCTTTTGCGCAGCCTAAAAAGGAAAAAGACAACTTTTCCAAACCACACTATCTACTGTCTACTTCGTTACAACGTGGGTTGTAGCAACTATTCACAATGTGAATGGAAATGGAAATAAGAATAGGTGTTCAAAATTTAGCAGATTGGAGACCGTGACAACCCCAGATAGCATATTCCATTCTGTTCTTTGAAAACAAAGCACACACTATCAATATCAATCATCAATCAATATATTATTTATACCAAACCACACCATTTATAGAGCACAAATTAGTATGATCTATCTCAAATTTCATGCAATACACACAGGAAAATAAAAGGGCAAATCTCTGCATGGTAAAAGCTGACTACTAGCATCCTCTGGGTCATGCCTCCCAAAATGTTCAGTTTCAGGGAATTTGAAACCCCTCCAGATCCAAGCAAGCAAAGTAACTGAGGGCCAACCCCTAATGAGGTAACATCAATGCTCATGATGATCAATGTGAGAATCAAGATCTCAACAGTTGCAACCCAATATACTATCTGAACAAACGGGAACGACAATTTCAACACAATTGGCTAGAATAATTAACACATATTGTTCCTTCGGCGTAAGCTGAAGCCAGTCTACTGCTATTCATGAGACCTTCCAGCGCAAAGGTCATTTTCATTGCCCATCTACACCACAACTATGTACATAATAAGCCATAGAACAGCTATGATCCAGGAATATAAAAAAACAAAAGTGCTTCAATTCTTAGCTTTAGGCCCATCCTGCAAGGCGTATCCTACAACTAGTACGTAATGGCCACTGCCCGACTATATAGTATGCATAAAACTAGCTTGGCATCTCTTCAAAATAGATAGGACTTGAGATCAGGCAATCTACATTTGAACCTGACCTTTCCCCAACGTATAGGTATGAAATCTGCACCAGGGGGAAAAACATCAGAGAGATAGGTCAATAATCATGATACACCACTTGATGTAGCAGAAAGACTGAATTAAAATGAAGCACAAGAAAGAAACCAAAGAAAGGCCTTCTTTTAGCATTCTGATAATAGGGGCTTGACTCCCCCCCCCCCCTGGTGCTCTGTGAGACCAGACAATATGATAATTTTAGCTCCACAAAATGCATAATAAACATGCTTCAGTTCGGACCTAGGAATTTTCTAGATGATAAAAAATATTGGGATAAAAAAGAAGCATCATTTCACATTTTTCCCAATTTGTATATGATAGTGTTCTTTAATTATGAATTAAAGGCACAAGAGAGATTATGGGGCCCACGATCTAGTGCTTTGAAACAAATTAACCTTCACAACACATATTGAGAAACATTGCAGAGTAAACACGCTTTCACCATAACTGGGTCTGTATTGAAGCATTCTGGCCCGCCTTATCAACAGTCAAAGCCAATGGGTGCAATTATGTAAAACAATCAATGAGCCAAAGCATTACGAACTAGCAACCATGAAAGTAAAACAGCTCTGAGAATAAAGAAACTGTTTTATCTCTTTAGACGATGACGACAGCAAGCCTTATCCTACTAGCTAACCACAGTAAAACATATGCGCATTAGCATGTTATTATTTAATGAATTAAGCTCATAAATTAGAATAAGAAACCAAACCCAGAAAATCCATTTACATATTAAAAGACATCAAGGTGTAAAGATGCAATCACTTGAAACAAAATCTAGCCAAGCAAGTAACAACTACATGCAATCTATTTGTTTTACTTGCAATATCTTCTATATATTTACAAAATCAGCCCAAAATATATTTAATTGTTATTCACCCCTTTAGCCCAACTCTGGTTAAAATTACAAAGTTTGTACATTGTACCAAAAGAAAGTGCGCGCGCTAATAGACTCAATAATGATCCTTGTCTTGAACCTTACAATATTCATTATTTTACATTAGATAGTCCATGAATAAAAGCCTTAACTGCTATAATCCTACACATTTTGACTCAACACAAAACAATAGCCAGTTAGGAAACAGTAACGTGCCAACCATCACATTTTGTTTGACATCATGAACTTCGCTTTTTTCTCCGCGGGCTTAAGAATCTGGAAAGAGCACATCAAGTTTTCATCCACGCTCATCATGGCACCAGCATTGTCAAATTCACCACAGTAGTTAGGAGCTGAAAAAATGGTAACAAGTTGCCTGTCGGCAAAGAATTCATACCCATCCTCTACAACCTATAGGAAAAATTATGTCAGTTTGCAATCAAGCACCCATGGCTACATCTTTTCCTTAGCAAAGGGGAACAAAGATTGGAAAGAAGTTGCGAGAGCTAAAGAGATGATCTAGAGAATGACCTGATGTGCACGACAGATCAGGTCCAAGTCATGCTTTGTCAAAAATTCAGCCACCTTATCTGAGCCAAAGGTGTATGAGACTCCTCTGTCATTCATACCCCATCCTTTAACATCTCTACCAGGATCTGACCAAAGCAAATCACAGAGCAATCCTGTATCTGGAACAACAGTTGGACGGGACAGACTTCTAATTTGATCCAAGCTTGTTAGGTCTGGGGAAAGGCCGCCATGCATGCACAATATTTTGTCATCTATAAGGGCTGCCACAGGAAGGCAATTAAAACAGTCTGTAAAAGATTTCCAAAGCCTCACATTGAACCGTCGCTTGCATTCATCATAAAATCCATATATCCTATTAATGGAAGCACATTCATGATTTCCTCTTAAAAGGAAAAAGTTCTCTGGATATTTGATTTTATAGGCAAGTAAAAGGCATATGGTTTCTAAGCTCTGCTTTCCACGATCAACATAGTCTCCTAAAAACAGGTAGTTAGAGCTAGGAGGAAAACCCCCATACTCAAAAAGCCTTAATAAATCACTGTACTGTCCATGAATATCACCTGAAAAGGCAGCCAAAAAAAAAAATTCAAACAAATCACAAGAGTCATTGAAAACATCAGAGACACCCATTCAACTTAAGAACTGTCAGCAATCCACAGCATGAGGTTTCAAAATGAGAGTGTCTAATCATGAAACATGCAGTAACTTTCGATTCTAATTGCATCATCAGTGAATAACTCTAGATTAGTCTAAATAATGACAAGTATTTTCGCAACAGGGCAAGTCTCAGCAGGAAAAAAAATTACGCAAATATTTATACTTCTTATTAATATTTAGTAACCTCCAATCTGCAATCATCAAGAACAAAGCAAGAATGTCAAGTAAGGATGTATTAGTAGTGAGCGGATACAAAAATGCCCCACATGGGACGGTAGCATACATTAATACTAGTATTCTGGCAGACAGGAAAAATGAACTAAAGAAAAAAGGTCATGGCCATCAAAGAATGTTTAGAAACGGAGCATGCAATTAAAGAGTTGTAACATGAATGCTTAAAAAAATATTGGAAAGAACAGATAAACTTCTACGGTTCTGCCCATACATTATCAGGGGGGGAATGTTTGCCTACAGGCTACAATGAAAAAGGAGCCCTAAAAACGTGTTTCAAAAGAATTAGAGTAGCCTGAGAACATGATTATCGTAAAGTCATAAACACCTGACGAATAGCGTGCAAAGGAGAACGGTTGAGAGGCCACATATATAAAAAAATTATTTCAATTTCTAACAATGTCCTATCTCGCCGAGTTATAGTTTGGAGCTGATGCATACATAATCTTAGACACCTCTTAGTTCTGAAATAAAATTTTAAACTTCATTTTATACTTTTTTTCGGCTAACAAAAGGATAGTCATAGTTCCACAGGAACCATTACAACCGACAAAGCATGGGAAGGGCCATGCCCCTCAAATAAACTTACAGGCGGTCTATAAAAAATTTAGGGAGAACGACAAATAAGGAGCTTCTAAAAACATTAATGTTAAATTAAGATTTTTTTAACACTTACGTTCTCAAATTTTAATACTCTTTGTACCATGTTTCAGTAGTAAAGTTACTAATTTGACATTAATGTTCAAGCTCTTACTTGTCATTCTCCCTTTATGAAAACCCAGTGCGAGTTGAATTGCATGAATGGCCATATTCAAAACAAGCTTAATAGATGTACAGTAACCGCAGCTTCATCAAAGAGGAAATCTATATTGAGAGACCCAGAACGAAACCTTAAAAAAAAAAAAGAAGTATTTTTATTCCAAAATAATAAATGAAACGTAGCAGTAAAATTGAAAGCCCCAAGAACAGAGAGTAATTAGGGTGAAAGCATACCACAAATCTTGATGGGGGCCTCGAGTTCGAGCAAATTGGGCTGCTGGACAAATATATCTTTAGAAGCAACACATAGCTGCCTGATCTCGGTCTCAGAGAGCTGAACCTGTTTACCGGGTCTCGCTAATCGGACTTCCGTAAGCCGTCTGATTATATCATCGAGCACAGCATGGTCAATCCCGACCTGCCCTTGGGTGGTCATCGGATCCTGGCCTCCGTTAAAGAATTTTTCTTACCAACGAAAGTCAAAGTGGAAAGGCTAATGAGACCCTGGCAGGGATTTCAAAAGGCGGGGAAGAAGCGTTTCAGACTGGAAGCACTTTTTCCCTTCTCTGCTCTTGGAAGTCTCCCTTCGGAGACCCCTTCTCTGCGCCTCTTTGGGGTTTGGCTTTGGCGTGCCCGATTTTCTCGATGAATATTATTATCAAGGGTATTCTCTCGGAAGCGAGGAGCGGCCTGCGGGAAAAATCTTAGGGGAGAATGACAATTTAAGACCCACCGGGGGAGAGTTGTACTAAAGGCCCAATACATGCATCAGTGAATTTACTCGACAGCCTTGTGGGCTCTTATTATAAATATGTTTAAGGGGCAAACTCTCATTTTCTTCCCCCTCTTTGTTCTTCTCCACGGCTCTTCCTTCTCTCTCTTCTAATACCAATTCACTTTCTTCCCTCTTTTCTTCTTCTTTGCTCTCCCTTCTTCGTGCTTTTGGTTTTGTCCATGGTGCAAATAATGGGTTTGAATTTGAAAATGCTAAAACTAAAAATTACAAGGCCTCACTCCTTAGACGACGTGCAAGCATAAGTTTGTACAAGTTGGAACATTTTTAAGAAAGACCTATGAGAGTTGAAACTCGATGCTTTGACATGGAATGATGGGATTTTGGAAATGGGAAAGTAGACTCTAGAAGTTGGAAATGCAAAACCAAGAGGTGATATGAACTTTCAAAAGATGCAAAACCATTGCACATCTCAATTGCTTTTTTTTAACAAATTGAGAATGCATTTAAAGGTGGCAGAAGGTTGATGGTTCATCTAGCACACAAAAGGAAGTAGTAGATGTGTTTATCCAGTACACAAAAAATCATAAAAGGTTGGTGTTTCTCAAGCTGTGTTCATCTAGCATGAATAATTACTTGTTAATACGTGAACCTTGACTTGTACATATCTAAACCTTAACTTGTGAACAAATGATGGGATTTTGGAAAATGAATCTTGGTTTCACAATATTTGAATATGTATTTGTTAGGAGATCTAAATATATAGCTCAAGAACTATCAAGCATGAGGAGTGAATCAATGAACCTATACTTGTTAATATTAGTACTTTAAGTTGTGCAATTATGAACTTGTTCAACATGAATTTGTCAACTCTTAATAGGAATTTCACTATCAATGGGCAATAATTTATTAATATGTGAACCTAAAGTTGTGCGATTGTGAATATGTAATTGTACAAATCAAAACTTTTATTTATTGTCACTGAACCTTATTTCTAAATAAGTGGAGTTAGAAATTCTGGACCTTGAATTGTGAATTAATTAACTTGTACTTGTAACTGTTAAAACCTTAAATTGTACATTTGTGAACTTGTCCAACACGTACTTGTCAACACTAAATAAGAATTTCACTGTCAATGGACAATTACTTATTAATATGTGAACATAAAGTTATGCAATTGTGAATATATAATTGTCCAAATCAGAATTTTCACTTGCTGTCCCTTAACCTTGTTTCTTAATAAATGAAGTTAAAAATTGCAAACTTTGTGAAATATCTCCCTTACCTTATCATAATTAAACTATAATTTGAGGTAATCAAGAGTTTAACCCCAATAAGAATTATCAAGTTTGTAATACGTAGAAATGAGATCCTAAGTTTTTATTGTTTGAAATAGATAAAAATCATCTATTACAATTTTAATTGGAGTAAAATAATATTTCAAAAATTCAAGATATCTCAAAGGAGTAAAGTAATTTGAAGACAATTGAAAAACATCAAAGGCTGGAAAGCAAGGTAGTGCGTTACGGCTCGTGCACATGCGTCACGGCTTCTCACATGCTGTCATTTGACAACAATTTTCAAGCAACTTTGGACATGCCACATTTCTCCGTTCAATGTCTGAATGAGATAATCTAGGTGTCTATAAAAAATTATTTTTAGAAACTAGCTAGTAGCATGTGTTTTACTTCCATTTCTTACTTTCACAACCAAAAGGGTGTCCAAACCTTACACAAGTGTCAAAAGCTATTCCTAAAACTCAAACCACACTCAAGAAACTTAGGACTACATGGACAATACATCACATGTACATAATTCTAAATACATTAAAATTTCACTCCTTAACCCTTATATATTAAAAATAGCAGGGGAAGGTGTTGGCATTGTATTTTAACATCAACATTCAGGATCATATTTAAATGAACATCCCTACACTTGTACTGGTGTTTTGACCCTATCAATACTTCAACAATTTACACACAACATTCCAGGGCCTAAAATACATCACAATGTCATTAACAACCACATAATGAAAGTGTGATCAATATGCATCGTAATTGGTAATAATTAACTTATTACACAAAATAAAGGACATTTAAGAAGCTTTACAATAGAAATCCAAAATTCCTAAACCTCTAGAAACCTTTCCCTTTCCATGCTGGAGCTAGAGCTTGTGAAAATTGAAAGAGAAAGGTGAGTCTAGCCACTTAGTAACTAAGGTACACCTACCCTAAGTAATTGCATATCAATTGAATAAATATACATAAATGAGATAATTACTCAAAAGCATGTGATTACATGAGATACAAGTTATATTTTCACAATTCATTTCAATTTTACATGTATCATTTCATGTCGAGTACATTGCCACAAGATGCACACAAATGATAACCTAAATTATTTTCATGACTTGTCACAAACTTAAACAACCACCTTATATGTTAAATGATTACATATGCATGATCAAACCACCTTATACATATCTTTTGATATAAATTATGGCTTATAATATCAAATAGGACTTCATCCGTGTTACTAAACTATACAAGCTCTCTAATTGTAAGATGTGATCCCATCAAAGATCACGTGACTCACTCTCGAACCACGATTTTTCCTACTCTCAAATCTCTAAAGTATTGTATACCCTAAGCTAATCTTCTTAATAAATTGGTAGAAATAGCTGGGTTCTAGTCTCTTGACAAATTATAAGACAATCCTTCCACAAACTATGAGATAAGGCTATACCATCGCACATCGAAAGGCAGCCAAAAATACCATATGAATTTTAACTACTCTTCTCCTTAAGTGAACTCTCACCAACTGATCATGCCATGTACTATGCTTACTGATTTCATTATTTTAATATCAACACATTGGGCTTACGATAATACGTTGCCCAAATAAGCATCGGTCTCATTTTCACAAATATCATATATCTCTACAATTTTCAATCTCAACAAAATTATCTTCATTTCATTATTCCTAATCACAATTCAAATTTATCATATCGATTATCAACTACTCATTCCAAAACCATATTGTAATTTGAAATCCATCTCAATTTCACCCTTGTATATTTAGTTCAAATTAAAGCAAATATACAATCGTATGATTTCATAACATGTTTACACATTCACAATCACTAATATACATGCAAATAAACATATTCCATTTTGCAATGCAATTAGTAAGAAACTATTCAAGATGAGGTTTCCCCAGCTATCTCAAACATTTAATGTGTCAAAAGTTTACCCCTTAATATATGCTCCCAAGATTGTCTTCCCAAGCCAAAGCGATGCTCAGACAATTAATTGTACCAATTAGAATTATCGATAACATATTCTAATCCTTGTATTTTAACTCCTAAAACACCCAATTTGTTGAAAGTCAGTCCTAGAGCGCTATCTTGATAGCAGTTTGTTGTTATGACAGCAGAGGTGTGCTATGGCACACTGCACAGTGAGAGGACTCTCCTTTTCTGTATTTTCCACTATGGTGGATGATGCATGCACCGCAGTTGATGGGGTATTTTGGGACATGATCATTTTGTCCCATTTCAATGTTTGGATATGCTTTACTTTGTTCTCATGCTTTTGTTACTTCTTTTCATTTGTTTTTAACTTTGGTTTGAGCTTAAACATCTTTTTAAAAAGGATTTCTTAAGATCTCAAATCTTTTAAACTTTATTTTTAAATCTTTATGTTATGATAACCTTATACAAAAAATTTTGAGGCATAACAAGTTTTGAAGTATAGGAATTAGTGATTATTAAAGGCTTAGAATTTAGAAATAAGTTAATTAATTTAAAATAAAGAATTTATGTAAAATAAAATAAGTTATAAGAATTTAATTCTAAACTAAAGTAATAATAACAAAACTAAATTGATATATATATATATATATATATATATAAGAGAAACAACAAATGATTAAAAGCAAATCCATGAATATATACACAAACATGTGTACATGTATATGTATTTTTTTATAACGTAATATGTCTTATATAAAAGTTAAAAAAAAGTAGAAGAAGAAGGAATTGGGTATGAGCCATAGCCCATAGATCATTCCATTCATTACTATACCTAAGCACTCCATTACTTAAACGCACACAGTCACAACTTGTCAAGCACGGCATGCATAAGGAGCAAATGAGAGAAACAGAATGCCAGCATCTTAGAGTGGAGACAGATTTTGGAATATGGATGCTAAAAACATATTTCAAGGGTGATCTAAGACTTTATAAGATTGAGTAAGTATTTAAAAAATTTTATTTTATCTATCTACCTCATTAGTTTATAGATTTTTGAGGTTAACAAATCTAAGAAAATAATTTATTTAGAATTTTTGGATCTTTTTATTGATAGAGGATTACTCTAATAATCTAGCTTTATCTATTTCAAGGTTTTTAGGACATTTAACATCTGAATATAAATTTTCTGTTAGATCAAAGGACTCTTAGATTAATGTTTGGGGCTTATTAAAAAATATTTGAGATGTATAAGGGCTTTAAATAAATATTTTTGAGCTATTAAAAAAAGGAAAATCTACTAGAGTCATAGACATTGAGAAGCTAGGTTTATACAAAGGAACATAGATTTACAAGTGAATTTTAGGTTCTTTAAAATAGCTTTAAGATCCTAGAGTAAATTTGGAAAAACTTTAAAGGAGCTTTGAATTAGTTTTAACAGCATTGAATTATAAATTAATATTGTTATATGTGTGTAATTCTTGTAGACTCTGACTGATAACTCTTATTTAGACTTGTTGTGTGACTACTTGTAAACTTAGAAGAATAGGTAACTCAAGATTTTTCCACATGTTTACAAACTTTGTGTTTGATAACAAATACATATAATCATAAATTTAATTGTAAGAAATTCATATATTACTTGAATCCTGTCAAGCATGCTTGTAGTTAGAGCCAAGAAAATAGGTTGAACATGCGGGCTAATCCATTCA